AAGGCCTTCCTTAGAGTCAAGAGGCCTTCTACTCTACATTCCTTTTTTCCTTTCTTTTATGTATGGAGTGGCACAAATTGAAGGGCTTCTTATTTCGCTACCCATAGAATGCCATCTAGAAGCGCTTTTATGGGACGTACTTCAGAACGGCTATTTGGAGGAGTTCATCAAACATCTTTAAAGTATTTGCTTACGAATTATATCAAATTTGTGTTATTACAACTTAAAATATATATTGAAATTCCTTCCATAATGCTAAACAATATAAATTTTTGCATTCGCGTATTATGTAAATGGACAAGCGTTGCTACTATTCACCCATTCCTAGGCATGCCTTTTAGAAAGGGTTCACTTAAGAAGGCCAACCTAAATTATCTTCTGGGTAGTAACATATCGTTACTTTAGTGGATGAGGCATATATTTAGGAAGAACCCCAACCACGGCGAGAGAGGAAAGAGAGACGTATTTTTTAAAGGAAGAAACGAAAGGCAAAAACGCGTGTGCGTGAATAACTTGAGATGCTGACAGATAGAAGTGCGACTCGAAAATTGTATTGGGAAATGAGAGCAGCGACACAGATGGCGCTTTGACGAAAAATAACGCTGTAACCCTGCAGTGAAAAGCTGTACTAGTAGGAACAAATTCCAGTTCATGAACTATTATTTAAGGATAGAAGTCACCAGTTCCTTGTAGAAAGTAAACTACCAGTTCCTCGTAGAAAAGAGTAAACTATGTGGTAGAATTTCTAGTTAGAAAAGTGGTATTCGATGGGGATGTCATACCACTTCTTTATGAACTATAATTACACCAGTTCTCCGCATTGAAATGCCAAACCAGCCAGTAAAAATACTTCGGCCTACCATTTTGACGGTTTAGAACAACTTATGCGATCAGCGAGTCCTGTCTTTGAATTGCCAAAACAAAAACTAAAATGCAGTTAGTTGCTTTCCTCTCAAATGTCGGCTGTGGCCTCGAGTGAAGATGAACGATTCTGCTTCTGAGATCTCAGGTTCGAGTCCATGTGCAGGTAATTAAAGTAAAGTAAGTCAATTATTTCAAGAATTTAAATATAAATTAATGATTTATGGGTCGATTACGGATAGCAACGCAACCACAGTTCGGTTGCCAGCTGGCAACGCAACTGGAAAGAAAATTTGTATTACGAATGGCAATTATCGTCAGTTGCTGTAGAGTTATCGATAATCGAAATTTGACAGTGCGACAACCAGCAAGCGGCTGTAAACAAGCTGTGCGAGTAAAATTAAATTATTAAAATAAAGAGTTTTAAAGAAAAGACAGCAATAAAGCTAACTTCATCACAATTATTTATTTTATAGGAAGAGAAGTGCTTGAACGCCAATCCTCTAGAGCTACCGCGTGCACTGTAAGCAAAAGTTAATGCTTTCAAGGTTTTTTTCTTTTAGTATCGTTTTGTGTTCATTTTCAAAGCATATTGAGGACTTCCAAAAGGAGCTGTAGTATAATTGGTTAATAAACAGATGAACCTCTTCGTTCAACTTCAATACCTCCGCTCATAAAAGTTTGCGCAACTCTTCGTTTTTTCGCAGAAGGAAGTGCCACGGCAATGACCTCAATTTGGAAAACTTGGTGTGTCGGGAGTTTTAAAAGAGGTGCTTCAGTCGATAAAGGAAACAATTTGCAATCAGTGTTCGCTTTTGTTTCGCCAAAGGGCGTACTCCTCAGGAATTAAAATTTCAAGTTATTGTTTTGTTATTTTTACCATATTCTGTAAAAGCAAACTGCATTGCAAAATGTTAGTATCGTTCAAATTATTAAAAAGTGAAATATGTGACACACTTTTAAATTTTTGCTCCTAAATACGCTCCAAAAACATTCCTAGCAACCACAAAAATGTAGTCGCCTGTATACACACTTTGTAGCAACTGCAGTTGTCAGTTGAAAGTTGCCAGTTGCTATCTGTAATATCGTTTTGGCAACTAGCAACGCAACTGAAGTTCGATTGCTATCGATAATCGACCCATTAATAATAAAAAAATTTAATTTCAATAGGAAAAAATCTAAATATTCAGATACCATAAAAACTTTTACTAAATATTTTTTATTCTCTTTAAAACAATACAATATAAAAATTACAAGGCGTAAATAAAAAAAATGCATTCAAAAATTCTGTCTAGCGAACTGGTAGCATTCTAGTTCATAACTACTAGCTTTCCCTGCAGGGAATGTATCAATGCTGTAAAACGCAGGCATCATGTGGAAATGATAGCACAGTTACGAACTAGACTAAGCACAACATTTTTTATTTATTTATTTATTTTTTATAAATTTAAAATTCGACCTCGTCTTGTATGCATTAGTGGAGGGTAGCTGTCCCACCCTGTTCCTACCTGTATACTACCTTGCAAAGGACGGTGAAAGTTCGTTCCAAGTTCGTCATCTTCTCACTTTTTCGAAAGTATCAAATACGTGTAAAGGTAACCACTTATGAATAAATTGTCACTGTTATTTCATCTGAGACTGAACTATAAAGCTGTTTTGTATCCAGGTGAATGTATGTAAATGGTTCAAGACTTAATTTTTTTAAGAATTTTGTCTAATGGCCGACCAGGGCAAAGGTGCACCTTTTTTTGTTGGTATAGGAACGAGAAAACAAAGTCTGACATTGGCATTCTCGAAGAAAATTACCTCCGGGATTCAAACATTTTAGCGGTTATGAGAAACCAAAATACTCTATATTTTGAATTTCCTCATTTGTTATGCTTTTCCCGGAAATGCGGCCTTAACGATATGTATAACCATACAAAATTGTGGATAAAAACGGCGTACTCCAAAAGCAGATGAGGTTTAGTCTATCGGTAAACGCTGTTTTAGAAAGAAACGAACTCTTATCTATTTCATTTGAGAAGCTACCAAAATCGATGCGTAACTAAAAGAGTTGTGAATGGTCAAATGAAAATGCCTAATCATTTTTTTTGTATGAAATATGAGCAGCAAAGAATGTTACTCATACGCCTACTCCCTGTTAAAGTTTGCATTTTTTCATTCACAATGCGAACTTTAAATGAAAACATCTTGGGAAAATTACCTGTTCTACAAAAACGGTGCACATATCCGTATTATCCGGCTGAAAATTAAGTTTACGTGTTTCGGTATTTTTTGTTTCATTTTAACGTTCCTACAGTTTTATTGGTATAACACTTCGATT